GGTGGAGTGCCCTGAAGCCATGTGGGTTGGTGGACAGGGCACTGTGTTTTGGCTGTGGAAGCAGGTGGCCAGTAAGAGGCAGGTCTCACAAATGGGGTTCGAATTGGGTGCCATCCAGATCACCTGGGAAGGAATCGGGTGCATGTAGTGGGATCAGCTCATCCCCCTCACCCACAACATGCAATGACTAGGATGCCTAGACCTTGAGCAAGCCGTCTTAGTGGCTATATTTTGATAGCAGGCCTGGTCTGGAGATCCTAGAGCAAGAGCAACACAGAGCCAGACAGTCTCCAAGCCAAGGTCTGAACCCCTGCACCAGACTCTGCTAACAGTGCTGCTGGGTACTACGGCAAGAAAGCAAATAAACACCTCTCCTTCACAGCTTCATCCCCCTCCTGCCTGGGTATGACTGAGGAGCAGTAGGTCCAGACCTTTGTCATCGATGGGTTTTGCACAGACCCATAGCAGGAATCCAACTGCCTGGATCCTGAGTTATAATATGAGATGCCTAATAAGTAATTTGCTAATTAATTTTTTCAGTAAATTTTGTGTAGGAGGACCATGTAAACAGCCATATTATTTAAGGCTACATTTTAATGTTCTCCCCAAAGAATTTTCCCTGTGTTGTGGGTTCTAAGCATTGCAGATACAGTTACAGATGCATGCCCACCAAATATACAGTTCATTGTTCATCTACAAATGAAAGATCAGGAACTAAATGTTTACATTATCTACATTTTCTGTGCAAGTAATTGTCCAGAATTGTACCTACATTTGCAATCACTTGCCCTAAAATGGAGCTTTGCCCTTATGTGCTTGCAGCACACAGAGCTTGTGGCCCCCAGTCAGAATGCAGCCAAAGGACAGAGAGTGATATCCCAGCAATGCTGAAAACTCAAGCCCTGCACAGCTGATGAAGTTCATCTGAGACAGACTTGAGGTAGCTGCTGCTTAGGGTTTGGCCAGCATGTCAGAGGAAGACTACACTCAAAGCATGTTCACAAACCCCTCTGAGCTAGGAGTGTTTTCTGCAGCTCCAGCAGGTTTGGGATGAGACCTCCAAACAGTGTACCATTTCCAGGAGCGAGCTTGCTCTTAGACCCCCCAGTCACAAGCTTTTTCCCATGAATGAGTATCAGCTCCCTTTGGCAATATGCACATCTGCTTCCTGCAACACACACAGAAAGTCATTCTCAAAAGAAATTATTTCCAAGTTATTTGCCTCTCAGCAAATCATACAGACATATGTCAGGTCTTCTTCATTCTCATACATGTGTAAATACAGACCACAGGTTTTTTTTCAGTTTGAACATCCATGATGTTAGTCCAGCAAGTCACAAGCATCAGATGTCTGAGATCTGCATTTTAAATACAATACATGTTTATTAAATGTTTTGATTTCAAATGCAGGTTACAAATATGTTCATATTGCAGTCATTTCAGCTATTTTTTCCATAATGCAGTAGTCAGTATGAGCTGTGCAATGCAAAAGAAAATACTCAGAATAGTCACCCTTTGTAACAATAGCGTAATTATCTGTAGAAGCACCTGAGCACCACACTGAATGTGCCTCTCTGCATAAATAATGCAATACAACTGAGCTCTGTATGAAATGTGGATGACACAAAACTGTCAAGCTCTAGGAAAAATGTTTTCCTTTTCAGTTTCTCTGATTCACAGTCACCCTGTTTCAAAGCCATATGACAAATCTGAGAGCGTGATACACTAGGAAAAATTATGCAATTGCTTACGTATAAATGACAACCTGGGACATCAGGTAATTAAACCTGAATAGAAACTTGACAAGGCATCTTTTGGTTTCCTGTGGAATGTTTTGTACAGAATCACAGTCTGCCAGGTTGAGCTTTCAACTGCCAAAACCCAAATATGAACAACATCGCAAACAAAAGCCCCAGGAAATCCATAATACATAAAATGAAAAATGTTCTACATCCAGAGGTTCAGTTTCATGTTAATGTGACTGCATATTGTCAAGGCAAAAATGTAAAGTCTTCCTACCTTTTTTGTGAGTGAACTCCCACTGATGTGTGGGAGAAGGGCTGAAATGTAGCCATTGGAACCGACTGGAGAAGTCAGCCTTGGCTGCTGCCTGACAAGTCTGGGATGTCAATAAGAATTTTGCCTACAAAAAGCCTATGGTATCCCATGTCTTCAGACAAATGTATATAATTTAAAAGAAGTGATCAAATAAATATATGTAAAAGTACACAAGATCTTGTTCTTTGGTCTCAATTTTTCTGGTCTTTCTCATACGGAGGGATTTTCCAGGGGATTTCTTGAGAAGCAAAATCTTATCTTCCATGTCTATGGCTGGGGAACAAGTCTTTCACTTGCCTAGTAGCTATGGAGTTATTTGCAAGCTATGGACAGGTGAATTTTGGATGTTGGTGATGCTTAAATACGTAGATGATATTTGTTGGAAAACACAGAATTGCCTATCACTCACACAAAATCCATTCTTAATGTGCTTCAGATCACATTTCCTCTGCTCCTGTGGTGAAATTGGGAAGCCTAAGTCAAACATCCAAACTTGATTCCCTCCTCTTGTGGACACCTCTGATTTTGATAATACAAACATAAAACTGAAATATCACAGAACAACCACTTCTCTTCTCTGGGGGAAATCTGATGTCTGCCTCCTTAAGACTCCTAAGAGCTTTTTTAATGAGCTTTACCCAAAAGAGATAAGGAAATAGCATTTACCCCTAAGTACAAAGACAGAACGTATTTCACTGTAGTCCTTCTGGCATATCAAGTATGTCTGAGATTTCCCCATTCCAGATACCCCCCTGCTAGATTCACAAATGAACCAACATTCTCTCATGTCCCCTGCTCATCTCTTTACACCCGAAACTGTACACATTGCAAGAGACCATGGATCTCATGATGTCAGAGAATTTTATAAGTCTTTACTGTCGTAGACTGTCACTCCAGACTCACTGCACTTCAGCAAAAAGACAGTAAGTCAGTGCTATGTGCAGCAGTAATTTGGTTCATAAACTTGACACTTTCTGGAATAAATATTTTGGCAAAAGTAATGTGGCAAAACCTGCAAATAATCACATTTTCCCATCCTTATTTAGCATGATTTTTTTTAACACATTCTAAATTAGCAAGGTAATGAACTTGGGACAGACAAAGCAATTAATGAAAATTCAAATTAATTCTCTAGATACCAATTCTGAATACTGAATATTCATAGTCTATATGAATAGACTAGTTGGTCTATGTGTTTGAACTTTCTAAAGCCAGATTCTGTAAACCTATATTATTACAGGGAAGAAGCTGGGAAGAACCTCCTCTATATCTTCTTTTAGAGAGCAGGGTTTTGAATACGGTTTTTCTGCCCTTTGAAACTCTCTGGACAATTTATTGGGATAAATGAATTCCATTTTATTAATAGCAATTTTCTCAATTTTTAAATAGCATGTATTTTTAAATAACATTTATCTGGTGATCTTTCAGGTTGAACAAAACTTTAAAGTAAAACTGGTATTGACAATAGTACAGTGATATATTATGAAAATGAAATCATAAATATTGAAAGTAACAAAGAAAAAAAAAAAAAAAGGTAAAAAATAGTTTCCAAACCAGCATTGAAAACAACCCAATTTATAAAACACTGTTTCTCAACACATCTGTTGAAGTAAATGAGATCCATCAGAGGCCATGGTTTATAGCCTACGAACAAGATCCTGTGAATATTTCAGCAGGATTGTGTACAGAAGGCCCAGCCTGGAACCGAAGACAATGAAGCCACAGTACAGCTCCTCTGACAGAATAGTGACAAGCTACACCTATTATTATTTAGCAAGACTGTTAATGCTTATTCTAGCCTTTAAAGAAAATTGTAGAAGGAGTAGTAATGCTAAATCTAAGTCTAATTCTATCTTTAACCATACAGTCATGGCTACATTACAGCACACATTATTTGTGATAAAAGATGAACATAATAATAATAATGGGATAATAGAAAAACAAAACAAATAGGACAGCATTAAGAGTGGTATATTGTTTAAAAGCCAGTATGTGTAATGATACGGCTGTCGGGATCTACAGTATTTCCCGCTCTGTCCGCTCTTTGCAAGTGTTCCCGCAGTTTGTGCTCTGCATCTTGAACACGAACAAGTCTGATTCAGCTACTCTGACCACCAAACACAAGCTACAAAAGTCTCCTCTACATGGATCTAAAACCAAACACAGAACTCAGAAAATATGTCCAAAACCTCTGTCTATAAACGGGAAAAATGCTAAACAGCGACTGTGGGTTTTCTTCGACTTGGTTCTAAGTACAACAAATGCGTGGCCGGGAAGTCAGCGTGTCTGAGACCTCTGATGCATTTTGAAATGTTTCCATCACATGGAAAAAATGTTTTCAAAACCTGCGCTTTCCCAACGAGTAACAGTTGAGCCTTTTATAGCTTTTCTCCTGGCATGGGACTTGATTAGCAAGTACAAAGATTTAGACAGAGATTTATTAAGTAACAGTTATATTGTGTTGCAATTAAAACGTAGGAAATTCGCCGTCTACTTAAGCGTTTAAAAATGCTTAATGTAGGAAGCAATTACACCTCATTTTCAAATTATTCCCCTGACTACAGAGCACGCTGTACAGAGTAAAAGGCGGCTGTATGGGCAGAGGCGGCGGCGGGCCGTGCCCGCTGGCCCGGCCGGGCCGGGGTCGGTGGCGGCGGGTCCCGAGCTCCCGCTGGGCGGCCGGGCCGGCCCGGGGCAGCCCCGGCGGGGATGCGGTCGCTGCCGCCCCGGCCGCAGCAAGGCGGGATGGGGGTGCTGGCCCCGTGGCGGCCGGCCCGGGGGAGAGAGGAGAGAGGAGCGAGGAGAGGCCAGGCTTTTTACCGCCCGTCTTTGCAAACCAAAACCGAGGGAAGTCCGGCACCGGCTCCAAACTGAGAACGGTAGCCCGAGGCCGAGCTCAGGAGCCCTGTGCATCATCGCCCGCCCCCCGCCTCTCTCTTTACCTGGCTGTACTTGGCCTCCTGCTCAAGGGAGCTCTTCTCCAACCCGTTCACGGCATGCTGGGCCGGCGGGTGGAAGCTGTTCCGGCCCAAGCTGCTCCATTCCTCCACCTTGGGGCTGGGGTAAGGCGAAGTGTCGTTCACTGCTGGAAAACAAAGGAATGGGAGAGAGGGAGTTAGAGGCAGAGGCTGCGATTCGGAGGTGGAGGTGGCTTTGCTTCGGGATGGAGAGGGATCCCTCTCCCCATGGGAGGCAGTCCAGTCTGTGGGGCAGAGCTAAGGGGAAGCAAGTCCCTCGCCTGCCACATCTCGCTGAAGCTCCTGGAAGCTCTTCGAGAGGGTGATTCGTGGGCAGAAGGGAGTCGACTCCCTCCGTGAAACCTGTGACAGAGATCAGCAAGCGAGCCCAGAGCTGGCTGGCTCGCTCGTCCCCAGTCCCCGCGCTGGCGGGACGGAGCTGCCGCCCGGCACTTGTCCCCAGGATCTCCTAAGGCGTGTTTAGTATTTACGGCAACCGCCGTGTGTGTGTATTTGTGAGTCAGAGGAGAACCGAAAGCCCGTGTTACAAACAGACCTGACACGCCTGCAGATGAGCTGGGCTCCAAACACTTCTTGGGAGAAAAAGAAAACGAAACACACACACACACATATATATTATATATAGGGGAAGAAAGCAGGAAGGAAAAGAGATAAGAGTCCTGTTATTTACACGCCTCTCAGCCGCGCCACGGGCATACCGGGATGTTTTTCAGGCGGACAAATTCCTCGAACGGCCAAATTCCCGCATCGGGGAGGCAGGGGAGGGGTGGGGGGAGCCCCGAGCCCGGCCGCATCGGAGCCGCCGTGGGAGGGGGCTTTCCTGCCACACCACCTCGCTCGGCCCCTCGCCGTGCTGGGGAAAGGCACAAATCTGAAGTTGTCTTAAGAAATTGAGCTCCCTCGGTGAGCGCCCTTTTCTGCTGATCTCACACTTTCCCATGAATAGGGGCTTCCTTTCCGTGTCAGCAAGGTCAGTTTATCCTATAAATCAAGGGCGAACAGCCCCCATCTGCGGCAGCGGCCACTCCGCAGCCCCGAGCCTCTGACGGGAAGGGGAGGGGGGAGATTTCGCATTGCAGAAAGATGTGTGCCGCTGCGGGGGCTCAGGGACACGGGGCAGATACCGAGACACCCAGCAGCACCGGCAGAGGCCTGCCTGCCAATGTGGTGCTAATAAAGGAGGAACTCACTTAAAAAACGCAACAAAACAACAACCAGAAAAAAAAAAAAAACAAATAAATTTCACATGTGATTGTAATGTTCTCATTCTTTTTAATGTTCTTTGCCAACACTACCTCTCGATTGCCTCAGAGATTGCCAGGCATGTATTTGTTAAAGTCGACTCAGAAAAAAAGCTATTTATTTGTGCCAGCGAGGACTAGGATAAAGTCTATATCGTGAAGGGTGAAGAACAAACTTACATTTTTGGCATGTATGTATATAAATAAAACATCCTTGTGCGTGTGTATGTGTTGCTTGAAAAAATACCACCTTCTGATGAAATAAGAAGGAAATTATTCTGCAATGACTAAAGGATTATCTTGCATTTGAAATGGTTTCAGAACTGGATTGTTGCTGTTAAAAAGGCAGTGAAAACAGATATCACAGCTCCCACCTCTCCACTACAAGAGAAAAATGGGACACGGAGATCGCTGTAGGCAAAGGTTATTTCGGATTGTTGTTTTCAGTGACACTTTGAGTAACGCTTTCACTGTTAGTTCACTGGCAGAGACCGAAATGGAAAAAAATGTCTCCTGCTAGCAAGCGGCCCGGGAGACGCGACGCAGTTTCCAGGCGGGGGAACAGAGAGAATGTGAAAGGGATAAAAGAGGCAAATCTTGGGCCTTTGGTTTTCCTAGACCACCGCTTCGGAGGAAAATACAGCATCAGAATGAAAGCAATTAGATGACATTTGAACTTCCTGCCGAAGCAAATTTGGCCTGATTGCGAAAACTACAGAAAATAGACTTTTCAGTAAGGCCAAGGAGGCGCCCGTGGCCGGAGCGCGGCAGCGAGCCTCGGCAGGGACAGGACCGGGACCGAGTGCGCCCTGGTGCCGCTGCAGCCCGGGCCGGTCCCTCCGGCCAGGATCGCCACTTCCCGGCTCAGAGAAGCGGAGGTGACGGCCCATGGGTTCTGTTTGCTGGTCCGCCTGCAGCCCACCCAGGCCCTTCGGTCTGCCCGCATTCCGAGACGCATCCGCCAGTAAGCTCAGTGCCCTGCCCGTGCTGGGGAAAACGAGAGGGGGTTCCCGAATCAAACAAGGAAACCACTTTCCGACCCTCGGAGAGGAAAGAACCCAGGAGCAAGGAACCGAACCCCTCCGGCCCTGATTGACTGCCTTTGTGGCCCCGGCTCCCTCCCGCTTCTCACCTTGGTCTGTGATGGACCGGATCCCCAGGATGTCCGTCACCGAGTGAGAAGACGGCCACGTCCTGGGCATGGCCATGGTGCTGGGGATCGCCGGCACCCCGGGAGGGGTGGACACCTTGGCTCCTGCAGCAGCGATGGGGCTGGGGTAGGGGTAGATGTGGTTGTAGGGCAGAGCAGGCTGTGGGGGCGGCTGGTGCTGCTTGTAAGACTCGTAGTGACTCTGCTGAGACAGGTTCCCGATTTTGTTCCGGAGGATGCGGCTGATGGAGCTGACCGACGGCACGTTGTACTTGTCACACACGCCATCGGCCAGCAGGCGATCCCGGATCTCCCAGGCGAAGATGCCCGGATCCCTTTGTTTGTAGGTCCGGATATGTTTCACCACGGTGGGAGTGGTGACCCGAGGCTTGCTGCCGCCGATAGCCCCCGGTAGGATGGAGCCGGTCTCGTTGTAGCGAGCCAGGATTTTGCTGACACAGCCGTGGGAAACGCGGAGCTGCCGGCTGATGTCACACGGCCTGATACCCAGTTGCGCCAGTTCCACAATCCGCAGCCTGATGGCATTGGGCAGGGGTCTCCCGTTGACAAACACCCCCCCGAGCTGGTTCACTTCCCCGAAGGCAGGTTCTGCAAGCAAATGCACAAACACAGCCGTCGGACACGGCGGACGGCACAGAAGGGGGCGTCTGAGCTGCTCCTCATCACAGACAGATGTCACAGACAGGGACCCCCCCGGTCACTCCACTCACGCTTCTTTATAATAGCGGGATGCCCCCAAGACTGAAGGAAGGAAAAGGGAGGGAGGAAGTGAGAGGTTAAAAGAAATAAAATAAAATAAAAAAATAAAAAAAGGAGAGAGAAAGAAAAAAGAAAAGACAGAAAGAAAGAAAGAAAATCCGTGGCAACAAATGTCGGAGCTCTCCGGACTGTGCATCAAGCATATTCCCAAAAATAAGCACATTCCAGAGATGAAAAACGAGATCACCCCAACAGACAAGTCAGCTTTATTGCCACAGGAAAAAGGAACGCGAAGAAAACAAAAAGAAAAACATCTTCTAAGACGTGGGGGAGGGGGAGGAAGGAAAAGTAGTTGAGCAAATTCTTTTACATCTTGGGAGAGACGAGGGCAACGCGGTGCTTCTGAGTCGGGACTAACTTTTTAAAGACCGTTCCTGGTGCTGTTAGCGCCTTTCGCTTAACAGCACGATTACACCGGGCTGTAAAACAAGCGCGTTTAAATGTTAACTGCTACGATCGGTGTCAGGAATAATATACAACGTGTCACGGGCTGCAGCCATCCGCTCGGCTGCGATCCTGACTCGCACTCGCCTAATAACACTAATAACAAGCCGATTAGTCATTAGCTCGCTCTCTCCCCTGCTCCTGACCCTCAACATGTTCTTACAACTTGTAGGAACACGAGCAAAGTCAATAAGGGAGCCGCGGCGGTGGCAGATGACTGCGCACGGGTGCTCCCCCTCTCTTGACAGCACTTGAACCCTCCTGCGGCTCCCGGCCACTTACCCATTCCTCTGAGCGGGGCACCTCGAGGCCGGCCCTAAATCCCAAGGGATCCCTATGCCCGGGAACCGACTCCCGGCCTCCTGCGCTCCTGGCCGCACTGGCCCCGAGCCTCTCTGAGCTCCGCTGAAGAGGGAACGGTAGCGCGAGGAAGAAAAGAACTACAAGGAAATCTACATCCCGACGAGAGAGCCTTGACTTCTGCATTTCAACCTCAGGGCAGCGTGGGCAGGGCCGGGCTGGGCCGGGCCCGTGGCCCACCGCCCCCCCGAGCCCGCCCCTGGGGCGGCCCCACGGCCCAGCCGCCCTGCCAGTGGCCAGGGGAGATGACGGACAGCGCGCTGGTGGCGGCCCTTCCGCTCCCGCGCAGCGCTCCGCACCTGGGCCCGGCGCGCCGGGACGGCGGCTCCGCACCTGCGGCGGTGAGTTGTGCGGAAAGCGGTGCTGAGCGGGGCTGGAGCCGTGGCAGGCGCTGCTCGGCCCGCGGGGGCCGGGGCGTCGGCAGGCGGCTCCGCGGGGCCCGGGCTCGGTCGGCGGGCGAGGCAGCGCCGCCCTTTCTGGCCCTTTTCCCGGACTAAACAGCCGGAGAGGGGGCTCCGAGCCCGGCAGAGCGGCCCCCCCTTTCCCCGAATGAGGCAGAGCCATGTCTTGACACGCACACGGTTCCCCCGCGTTGAGTTTGTGGATGCGGGTGAGAAGTTCTTGGCGAGTTTGATCGCCTCGCTATAATAAAGCATCTTTTCGCTAACGAATGTTTCGCGGGCGGTGTACGAGAAGACCGTGAGCGATGAGAGTTGAGTCATTTTTGGTGAAAATCACCAACCGCTCTGGAAGCTAGCTGCATTTTCCCTTGCCTTGGGAGGAGACGGGACGGGGCTTGTAGCGCCCGGCACCGGGATGCTGTTCTCCGGTCCCCGCACCCCGGCACCGGGATGCTGTTCTCCGGTCCCCGCACCCCGGCACCGGGATGCTGTTCTCCGGTCCCCGCACCCCGGCACCGGGATGCTGGCGCTCGCTGCCCAGCGCAGACCGGCCCAGGTTTTATTTTCATCCCCACACTAACATTGCACCGCGCCGAACCGTAAAATGTCAACGCCTAGCAGCCGAATTCAGCTTTATAAAAGGCACAGATACATATTAGCGATCAAAAGAAAAACAGACAAAGCTGGTAGGAATTAAAGAATGTGTGGGTCACGGTGTGTATGTGGAAGAAATGTTTGGTTTGGCGGTGTACGGATCCTGAGCTGATCTTGTGTTGTGTGCATCTTACGCCCTACATCACATCATGTTGGACACAGAGATCATGGGCCCCCAGCTCCAGCTAAGGATTTATCTTGTTCTTTTTGGTTTTGAGTGTTTTTTCGTGTTTTTTTGTTTGTTTGATTATTTTCTGTATTATTCTCCTGAGGTTCTTCATTGTCGTTTATTGCTATTTATTTTTTTTAATAGAGTCTCAAAGGCACAGACTCTGTAAATTAAATAAACGTGCAAAGAAATAAGGCGGTGATCCTAGTGCACGAAATATCACCATGTAAACCACAAAATTAATGTAGCTGGTGTATAAACATTGTCTCGATATTACTTTAATTGAAATGTAAGATATTTTTAGGAAAAAAAAATGGAGCGAGATTTCAGAGCCTGCACATATCATAATGAACATTCGTAACTGTGAAGAAATAAGATGTTGCAGGAGCTCTCCCAGAAATTAGCGGCATGTTGTAAACATATTGTGGTGAAAAGAAGGTAACCATGGCTCTTTTGCAGGTACCTCTTTTTGATGGAAATATCACCGGATACTTCTGGTTTTTCCATATAGATGTAAATAAATAAATAAATAATGAACAACAAACCAAAACTAAACAACAACAACAAAAAAACCCAACCCAAATAAAATCAAAACACCACCACAACAACTTTTCTATGGCAGTTTTGTAGTTATATCAAAAATGCGAGTTGCCCTTTCAGAATATCGCACCGGTAAGTTGTGGTGCTTCTTCAATTTAGATAGAATTACCCCTGATAAGGGGAGCACTCCTCATACCAGCGCAAATGCCGCTGCCCGAAATCGCTGGCATTTTGTGCAGGCAGTACTAGCAGGCATTTGCTGAACCCATAACCCCTTTTTGTGCTGCGAGCTGACCTCCTTTGGCTATTTTCAAGGCAGAAGGCATTGAACTAGTGGGACCCGGATACAGCCTCAATCGAGTTATTTATGTAATTAAATAAAGAAAGGTGGTGGGAGTTCGATCCGCTTGAACAGGGTATTTCTTGTGGAAGGGCAGTTTCTTGTCGGGATTCCCGACAAGGCTGCTCGCCCTACAGCGTCTCCCCAGCCCCACGGGCCCTGGGTTACTCGCCGCCCCTGCTGCCTTCAATATGCAGGACTCCATTGCTTTAGCCCGTGTGGCCGGGGAGCATCTCCGTGAGCACGGCTGGTGTTAGCCCGACCCCGCTGCTCCTGGACCCGTTCGGCGCCCCTGCAGCTCCCTCAGGGTTGCTGGGATGCTCGGGCGTGACCCTGCGCCGCTCTCCCACGCTGCCCAGGCAGCTTCTCTTCCCATCTGTGCTTATTGTGTTCACAGTTGGGTCCTTCTCTCCCCCCTCCGCCGTGTCCTCCAACCTGTCTGATCCCCCTCCTTCCCTATCCCACCCCTCCACCCCCGAGCCCGCCTCTGATCTCCTGGATATTTTGTTTCTTTCCCCTTTCTCAATGTGTGTTCCTGATGTGGTCCTGTCGGAAAAGCTCGTTTACTCTGCTCGGGTCTCCAGTGGTTTAAGGATAATGTTTATCAGAAGTGAACGTGCTCAACTTGTTTCCATTCAACTGCTGAGTGTGGGCTGAAATACCAAAGGTCAGATCTACAGTGAGTCGGTAGAGGGCAGGGGGAGACGAGAGGAATATGAAAACATAATATACAACAGCCTGTTGATCGCTTCTGACCTGCCTGGCAAAAAGATTAATTTTTTCAGGTAGGAAATCATTGTAGAATCGGAGGGGAAAGGCAGCAGGGAGAGGAGGGCGGGGGCCGCGGGGTCGGGGTTTCTCCAAGCGGGGAAGGGCACGCGTGCCCTGGCAGGGGGCTAGCCCCGAGAAGCCGGGGGCTGCCCCGGCACGCACCCGCGCCCTCACCGCGGGACCGCCCGGCCTGACAAAGCAAAGCTGGAGTGGTGCGAGGAAGCTGTAACAGACTCGAGCCAGTGCCAGACAGGAGCTGGGCTTCCCCTCCCGTTCCTTTCCCTCCGTGCCGAGAGAGCGACTGAGCGGTGCCGCCGCGGGTCCCGGCAGCCGGTGTCTCTCGGGGGTGGCTGCCCCTGTCTGCCTTCTCCCGACACTGCTGCGTCCTAGAGGGGAGTCAGAGGCTCTCCCCTTCCTCTCCTCCCCTCAAATTCTGCCCTCTCGCTTTCTTTCCTCTACAAAACAGACTCGGCGTGAGCTGCCCGCTGCAAATCGCGCGTACGGCAGCAGCCGCCTCGATGCGCGGCCGGTACCGGCGAGGCGGCGGCTGGCAGCCCCGGGCTGTGCCCGCCCATCAAGGCCTTCTCCGGGACCGGGCAGAACACCAGACAGTGCCCAAGCTCCCGCAGCTGAGAGCAGAGTCCCGACGCTGCCGTATCCCACCGCTCCGGCGGGGCAGAGCTCCTTTACGCCGCTCACCTCGGCGTGTCCTGCTCCTTCCTCTCAGAGCCGCCTTCATGAGGCCTTTCTGTGCCTCGCTCTGCTCCACAGATGCCTCCGCTCTGCCCTTGTAGGAAGAAACCAGACAAATCCAACGCAGCACACCCCCCAGCCCCTCTTTGAAGCTGCAGATTTTTATTGAGTTTTTTTTAATTTTTATTTTTAAAGAAGGAAGGAAGATAACCCCCTCTCCTTCCTCGAGGGGAGTGGGCTATTAAGTCGCTATTAAGGCAGAAGGACGGCCAAGGGGTAAAGTATTTTGTAAGCAGAAGGCTCCCTGGTCCTTCCCAAAGGGCACAGCCCCCCGGCCGTGCATGTAGTCGGGTGGCCGTATTTCCCGAGGCGGCGTGGGGAAGGTCCGGGGAGCGGCCGGAGGGACTGTCGCCTGCCCTGTCTTCCCCGCCCCCAGCTCCTGCCATGCGGCTCCAAACCGCGAAATCCAGCCCCGGAAGCGATGCAGACAGTTTGGTGGGTACAGAGCATCTTGGAGCCGGAGCAGGGGTGAGGGGATAACGCGGTGCGGGGGTCGGAGGAGATTTTGGACGCCTCTGAAAGGCAGGTAGGGAAAAGCGGGCAGAGGCAGGTGGAAGGCTAGCAACAACCCAGAAACAACCTCGAGTTATGTCCGGAGGTGACCCATCCCGGAGGGAAGGTGCTGTGTGAAACTGGGAGAGATGAGACCCACGGAGCTTCGAAACGGGGCTTTCGTTTTGCACACAGCTATTCCTACACGTGAGAATATAAAATCCCGCGGGATCTCCAGGGATCATTCCTGTTTTCTGCGAGGAACCAAACGCAGGATGAAGGGGCCTCCACGCATCACTGGCTGCCATGTGCATTTCCTTATGCCCCAAAATAGCTGAGCGCAGTAGGTTAGCGCGGGCAGCGTGCCTTAGCAGGCAGAGGGGGAGGGTGCGGGGCCGCCCGCGATCCTGGCTGACCTCGCTGCTCCCGCTCCCCCTGCGAGCCTGAAAATACCCGGCCTGACCCCCAGCTCTCAGGTGTGCTGACCCTCCCTCGTAGCCTGGGACAAGAGCACATGCACCGGCAAACGCTTGTGAGAAGGAGAAGGGGCATTTTCACAGGGAGACGTCGCTTCCAGCTTGCAGATAAGGACCGCTCCAGATAGGGACTGCTGTCCCCTCAACGTCTCCCTAACCCCTTGGCGACCCCCGGGCCCAGCCCTTCTGCAGGGGATGGTCTTGTTTTCCACTTGTCCTCCCCTCTTAGGAGGAAAAGAAGAATTTTTGAATTTCAAAATGATCTTTTGAAAAGATCATTTTGAGAATGATCCTGGCACAAGATGCTGATCCGTTGTTGGTAGATGTCGCGTTTCTT